AGCTATTCCTTTATTACATAGCCGTGCCGACGCTACATAATATGGAAGTTGATGCTTTAGATTCCACTGGAATTCTGCATGGTGCTAGGACGATGCAGCATCCAGCATCCAGCATCCACAGTATCGGATGCGCTCATTTCCAGAAATGCGGGATAACTAACGCCATTGAAGCTCAAGGGTTTGAAAGGGATTGAGGTAAGATGCAGGCTTTTGCGTCCGTGGGTGTGTCCCTAGCGAAACAAAGATTGTCTAGGTAGTTAAATTAGTAGGCGTCTTTCGCTATGTGTGCTTCCATCAGACTTCCTTTACCTTGGCATTCCCAAGATGCCGGTACCACGCAAAATGCCTCTCTTCCCATTCTCCTACCCCGGACGCATTAAAAGATGTCCGTTTCCAGCCCAACAAGATCTGTTTGAAGAAAGTTGCATATTACCTACACTCAACCCGAGTTACATCTGGAGCGCTGCTTTAGCTCTGGACGCCAACTTTGAAAACGGAGTCCTCTGTTATTGCTGGATAATACATACATAGTATGTAGATAGAAAACTGCTACCAACTTGTTTGCGAGCTGGTCCACCGTGCCATCTATCTATGGATCCCCTATGTATCGGGTCGTGATGCACATACACGGTACACAAAGAAACGAGTTCAAGACAGCGCAGCTTCAACGCTTGTTTTGAGTGTCTTGATGAATGTGAGATTATTGATTTGTTTCATTCTAGTATATGCTTCCTCGTGTGGAAATAGATTAGCATTATCGTTTTTTCCCCTCCCTCTCTTCTTTAAGAACGCTGGGCTTTGATTTGAAATGACTGGCTGTAATGTATAATAGGCGTAAACTCATACACGGTTATCTTGAACGTAGATCTGTTGGATAATTTTAATCTTATGGAGAAGTAATATTTATTGGCATTCCTAATTAATACTGGCAAGTTTAATACACTAGCTAGTTGCTAAGGTAGATACCATTTTTAAGGACGTTTTGAATTGTATATGTTATATATATAGACAATATATTACTGGACGCTGTAACAAGGCTGTGATTGTAGTTGATATCAAAATCCGTAACTGTCGTTGCCGCTGTATGTACACTACTAGCGTTCATACGGTATATGGCACTAACTAGTATAGTTTAATAAGTTGGCAACTCAACTCGGAGAACTGACTCTTCTACGACCCATGCTCGGCGACCTTTAAATCTTGATTGATGATCGATCTCGAACAGTCTAGTGCCTTTTAAAAGAAAGGATCCGTACCGTACATGGCACGCAATAGCATTCATATTTTACTTCGACCAGCTATATGTATAGAATGTACATATATAACACTTACATCACTTACATATCTGTACTTGGGTAACGGACAAGGCGGCACTTGTAACCGCATCCCACTATGTGTTACGTGGCTAACCATGTAGCCCTGTAACATGAGCCAGACATTCGGACGTAGGAATGATTCGGAACGATTACATGTAGCTTAGCTGTAATGAAGTCTCTCATGCACATGCTCAGATAGGTAAACTCTCCAACCACATCGTATAAATGCTACGGTATGAAATGAGTACTATATGAACGAGTAACCTACCTCCCTTGTAAATGGCAGGTAAAGACATGGGGATGGGATATTGGACTAGTTGTAGTAATGTGTTTAACGATTCCGCCGACGTCTCAACGAAGGCAGGTATCATGTATCATCATCATACCAAGATCCTGAATAGGTTTAAGCGAGAAATTGATTGGATACGAGAGCATAAGAGATCAAAAGAGGGTGAGAAGGATGTCGCAAGCAAAGAGCCACTTTTAGTCCGTCTGTTTCCCCCATGTGCCATTTTGCGCTTTTGTTGCTCGTGTCCATCTTCATCTTTTTTATCCACACCCCGGCTTCCGATTGCCCTAAGCCCCCTTTATTACGTTTTCCGAATTCATCCTTGATGAGGGGGGGATCTTTTTTGCTCATGGATTTAGTGAATTCAAGCTCCGTATCGGCCATCCTTCTACTTTTTGTCTTCCGTCTTCCGCTTTGTTTCCAACTAGCCAACTCAAGCATACCGAGTAATTAAGAAATTAAGAAGGAAGCAAAGTAGCGAAATGAGCTAGAAATGAGCTAGATCGTCCACGAGCCATAACCATGACCGAGTTCTGCCGTGTCCATTTCATTACGTCGAAGTGTCTTGGGCATATGTATGTATGTAATGTACATAGATACATGAATACATGGTTGTGCTTCAATTACACTGCGGACATGGACCCTGGCTTGCTGCTATTGGTGGATAAAGCAATCATACACTATTAATGGCTAGCCTCAGTAATCAAATATTATCATGTACGTACAAGAGAACATGCTAAATAAAATGAGAAGAAGGGAAAAAAAAAAGAAGAGTTACCCACCATCAGGTACCTAACCTATAGTAGTAGTAAAGTGGCTTTGACAACCTTTGGATATGTGCGTATGTATGAGTCCATTCCAAACATTTCAATGACAAGAATCCACTTCCAGCGTCGCATTTTCAGAAATATTTATCCTATGACACACTTAAGGCTTACAGTGCACACACATATCTGCCTACATACCTACATACACTACGGAATAGGTACATGATCACTGCATTCATCTACCGTTGTATTAAATGTACTTTGTTGTAAAGGATGATGCGCCAACCACCCACCGGAAAATGGACAGTACATACAAACGGACGATATGTGCTGTCGGAGGGCAACTACGCAACTAAAGAGCCCTGCGGGTAAGGAGGGGCTTGCTGACAATTTTTTTTCTCTCTTCCTTTCTGCCCCCTGTCTGCCCAATTATTTTTTGCTTAAAACAGGTGTATCTAGCAATAGGTACGCCATTATTTTTTCTTTTTTAAATACACACCTCCTTCTGTCCCCACTACATATTACCCTAGCAGCCTAGCCTTCAATGTTCCTAGAGTGGTATGATACATTCGCATCGTATGGTAAAGCCAGCCAGGTCGGATGTACCTTCCTAGCTTCTAAGAGTAAATTGCTCTTTCAAAACACTCCCTAGCGAACCTTGACGAACCCAGTCGTGACTACTAGAATACATACATACACATAGTATGTAATGCTAAAAAAATCATGCTAGTTGCGCCTTTAACGCCACTCCCCTTCGTCACTTTCTTCTCAGTCAGGTTCAAAGCCTTGTTCCAACTTCCAAAACTTTCAACCCGCCAGCCCGCTAGCCCGCTTAAACCCACGGCCCACATTTACACCTTTGAACAATAATACAATGCGTACCTACGCATCCACGCCTCTTCCCTCTCACACTACCTAAACTACCTACCTAGACTTTCCTAAACTACCACCTCGTAAGCCCTTGGTCCTTGGACGCCTCCGAACCGTATCCACGGCCCCACGGCCCAATGGTCTGCGGTCTACGGTCCAGCCAATCCATTATCCGCGGTCAGCTTGGCCACTCACACGCTCCACGCTTCACGCTTCCATGCTCACAGGGTGTCAAGCAGGTCAAGGTACCTGAGGGAAGGGGAAGGGCAACCTAGAAAAAAAAAAAAAAAAAAAAAGGGCTTGGTGCTTGGTCCAATGGAACGCACCAATCAACAGTCGATGAGCAACCACACAATCCAGCCAATCCGGCCCAGTCTCAATCCGGCTACCTGCTACTACTGCTACAGTACCTAAAGTAATCACTGCATACTCCAGTATTGTCGTGTAAGTCCATTGTACATACAAACAAGCCCTTCGTTCATTCAGAACAGTCATTCATTCATTCATCCATTCATAATATCTAATTCCGTACCCTGTCTTCCCTTGGAACATTCGTGACCTTACTATTTGTCTGTATATTACTTATTACTTTCATAATACCCCAAGTTTCAATTGATGAATCCTGTTGTTCGTGGACCCCAGCCATATCCGCTAGGACAACCCTGCCGAATGTGAATATAGAAAAAGAAGTAAAAAAGCAGTCGACACGAGACAAAGCCGGGAAAGGAGGTATAGAAGGGACTCAGTTTGGTAACCTAATAAGTTGCCCGTTTCCCTGTGCAACCGCAGCACTGCAGCACCGCAGCACCTTGTCCTGTCTGCTATTGAATTATATCGAGTCTATTTCCTTATCCACATCGTCTCAACGGCAACCTACCAGCTGGATATTCTGGAATCAGGAACGATCAAACTCTCCGAACGTTTGCCTCCTTCCTCCTTCCTCCCCAGAACCTACCTTCTCGTTCGACATGGCTCATCAGAGATGACCCGTCACTAATAAAAATACATAATCGTCTGTACCAAATTCTTCTTGTGGGGACTTCACAGCTCAGGCCGTCGTGGGAGCAACTCAGCATCAAAGTGAATGGAACACAACAGTCAGGAACTTACTTGTTACTTCACCAACGTCACCCGGATACGGCTCCATTACCTCACCGCGACCCTAACCAACCCTTCATGATTAGGGACTCCATTTAATTCATTTCTTTGTCTCTGCGATCCTCTCTGCCCTTTACTCAAAACGCCAAACCAAGTTGATCCCACATGTCTTCAGTCGTCGTGCCCTCGAGCTTCCGCCCATACCTCCCATCTCCAAACCATACTACGGCCTATCCACTGCGCCATACCCAAGACTATAGCAGCAGCAACAGCGAAAAGCTACGAGACCATCTGCAACTCCGCGGAACTGCCTTCTTCAAGGGTGGTCTTCGAACGCCCCCCGCCGAGAATAACATGAGCGCCACATACCACAACCCCGTGTTATCGAACACGTACAACAGCCATGTAGCTCTAGCAAGACAACCGGCCGGCTTAGTGCAGGCAGATCGAACGGGAGGAGTATTCTGTGACGTCGTAACTGGGTTCTCTGCAGCTCATCCGACTCACCAATCGCAATATCAGCAGCCTTATCCCTCCCAGACAATTGTTCCCCAACAATCGCACCCGTCTTCGAGACCATCAACTAGATCGACTACCCCCGCCTCTACTGGCAATCTCAGCGCACACTCGGAAGGCACAGTCTCCAAGAAGGACTCGACTATGGTAACCCACAGTCTGCAACTCCCCACGTGTATTAGTCCAAACGGAGGGAATCTGGATGATTTTGCCGCCCTAGTAGGTTTCGATTTATTATTTTTAGTTGTATATTGGCTGACAGTTTCTTAGATGACCTGCTTCTTCTGGTTCGAAACCATGGATACGATAAATGCTGCGGAGCATATTAAGGAACGTTCACCCTCCGAGCCGATCCCCCCATTGTCCGCATATACCGAGCCTTGCCCCGCGTATAAGCAATGGGTTAATAAAACCCTTTCCACGACCCAAGTAACGCAGAACGTGATCCTCTTGGCGTTGTTGTTTGTATATCGGCTGAAGAAGGCGAATCCGAAAGTGAATGGTAGCCCGGGTAGCGAATATCGGCTCTTAACAGTGGCCCTAATGTTAGGTAACAAATGTAAGTATTTTCTTAGCAGCTTGTACCACAAGTTTTCTAACGAGTATTATAGTTTTGGATGACAATGCCTATACGAACCACACGTGGGCAGAAGTTTCGTCTATTTCGGTAAAAGAAATTCACGTCATGGAAGTGGAATTTTTGAGCAACATGCGATATGGCTTATTGACATCTAAAGAGGAGTGGGAGGAATGGTTGAAGAAGCTGGCCTGCTTCCACGAATACTACGAGAGAGCGGTTATGGAAGAGAAGCGTCGAAAAGCCCCGCCTCCTATGCCGATGAATATACCCTCGCCGACTCACGCCGGATTCGCCTCTTCGCAACCTCCACCGACTGGCATCCTACCGTCAACCGGACAGTGTACACCATTGGCTCTTGCGGCGGCATATTCTCCTAGCCCTGTAGTTCATGCTCAAAGTTGGAATGCTTACCATCCTACCCCATCAGTTTCCCCGCTCGCAACCAAGCCGAGTCTAGGTCACCCAATGATGCGAAAGAGAGGGTTAGAGGGGGGAGACGCGGTCGAGCCCACTCCGAAGCGGATCGCTCGCCAACCGCTTGTTACGACGATGCCGCCGAATCAGCAAGTTCATGGGGGCGCCGGACCGCTTCGACTACCTGTGCCACACCTTACGCTTGACACAAGCCAGGCAATCATCCCACCCGTATACCAACCCCAGCCCACCTACTCCCAGCCGAGTGTATCGTTGCCACCGCTCGGAGCTGGAATGAAGGCTATGTCGACAGTATATCCCACAACGACTGGCTGGGCGCCCCAGGGATCAGTGCTTACTACTTGCGGACCACAGACGCCATCTTATGCGATTCCGTCCAACTATGGCACTCCGACAAGGCGACAGAGCCCAACGGGTTTAACTTCGTTTGGTTCGTCCCCGTTAGCCGAATCGTATGGAACCCATACGCCGATCTCGAATTCGCCCCTGGTATACCTACAACAGCGAGCGAGTCCCTACAAACCTGTTCGTCGCGTCAATACCCTTCTCAACCCTCCTCCGTCTATTCCGCTTTCCCAGTATCACCTGGGCTCGAGCCAGATGCACTACCAGCCACTGGGTCGACGGTATGACTTGCGCTCTGGTATCGTTCCTGAGTTTCTCCCTGCATATGCCAATCAACGGCCTTCGAGTCATTCCCATTAATAAGCAACTGCATTCCTGTTTCGATATTTTAACAGTATGCAGCATTTCGGCAAATGTATTTTTATTTTATTTCCACCTTCATCGTATCACATTACCTGCATTGGCATTGGCATTGGCGTTGGCCGGCTGTATACAGTCGATATAAACTCGACACCTCACGGATAAGGGCATGTCTTTTGGGGTTTGTTTTTGCGGTACAGCTGGTATCGCACTACAGGCGTTTGGTAATTTAAGGTGGACAAATCTTGATGGCATTCGAGCACGAGTTAGAGGATGAAGGGCGATGGCGTATTTTTGCGAAGCCAGCATGTATCCAAGCTGAGTTTAGGGCAAACCAGCTAAGGTAGTAGGTGAGGGACGATTACGGAGAAACAAGGGTGATATAGTCATGAGACTAGGCACCATTTTAAGCAATCGATTTTTAGTAGGTTGCATTCATCCAGATAGATGATAGACGGGTGATTACCAGCAATGGTAGCAAGCCAGAAAAGAAGTATAAAAGAAAATCTTGACGCAAAGTTTGACTGAAAGTTTGATGTGTTGTCTTTCTGATTAGGGCGTTATGATGTCACGTCAACTAGAGATCTCCAAATACATTTGGTTGATGCGGGGAATCGAGGTGGGGGTTTCCCCTCATTGGGGAATATTAGATGCCGTCCGTCTCTTTTAATTGGTTCCGAGATGCATGGAGGTCTTATTGAAATATCGGATAAACTATTCTTGCGGTTTGAACAAGCGGGACCTCGGAACCTGATATAATGATGAGGTTAGGTAATCAATCTTAGGTACAAAATGCGAGTATCTTAATAGCAGCTCACAATTCGCATATCTTTTGTGCTTTGACGACCCTAGCTCATGATCTTGGACCTTGGTTAACAGAGAGTATTCCGAGGAGATATTCATATATTAAGTAACATTTTGGTCTTAGCGTGGGAGCAACTGGTAGTCTTATAAGAAATAGGTAAGTATATCCTGTCGGTATGCGGCGCATGATGTTTGCTCTCTTTGGTAGTCATCCCTTACTCATGAATCAGGGACTTTCTAGTTAAAGCAGAGTTCATCGTAAGGAAGTCCGGACCTAAGGGGGTCAACTGAAATTTGGAAATAAGTCGATGGTGAAAAGGAAAGGTTCGGGTTTTATTTCTAGCCTCGGCATTTCCGCGGAGATGATAACTTATATCATATCACTTTTAGATATATCACAAACACCACCGAGACACATCGTCATCGAAATAAATTATAAATCATAAATCCAACTTTACTCTTCAAGTTTACAACATTTAGTTGGAAAATTCAAATGAGCACAACATACAAAAGAATAGCGACCATGGCAGCCTCACGTATGAAGTCGTGGTTCCCGACCACCGCGTCCCCTTTGATAATTAGCGCTCCAATGGGTGGAGTTACCAATATAAGGCTGGCAGCTGAGGTGACAAAAGCTGGAGGTTTAGGTTAGTTGCCCTATAGATGATATAAATTCTTCCCTGGATTGCTAATATACTAATTCCCTAGGTTTCATCCAGGCTGGTCGGGACTTCAACCCGGACTCACCTGCGCTAAAGACACTCGATGACCAACTCACCCAAGCGTGGCAACTTCTCGGCCTAGAGACATCTAAGAATGATAGCAGCCACCTGCCCATCGGCGTGGGGGTCCTCACGTTCATGCCATCCGCGCGGTACTTTGGTGAGACGGTTGTGCCAATCTTGAAGCGGCACAGACCAGCTGCGATATGGCTATTCGCACCGTCGCCTAAAGCACCGGGAACTCACTCGACTATCGTAAAGGAGTTAAGGTCTCGGGGAAGTCCGTGGAACCCTAAGATTGTGGTCCAGGTCGGGACTGTGGCGGCTGCTCGAGAGGCGGTTGCTTACGGAGCTGATATAATCGTCGCGCAGGGCATCGACGCCGGCGGTCACCAGTGGGCGAGCGGTGCTGGTATTGTGAGCATAGTCCCCGAGGTTATAGATGTGTTGCGCGACGAGTTTCCCGACAAGGAGATCCCGGTTTGGGCTGCCGGTGGTATCGCCGATGGTAGAGGGGTTGCGGCAGCATTGGCATTAGGTGCGGAGGGAGCTGTACTTGGTACAAGGGTAAGTTCCTCGATACCGACCTATCCAACCGATGAAAAGTCATGTGTGCGACAGTTGAGTTGCTGACATGGAGTGCCTATATAGTACATGGTAGCACCCGAGTCCGACGCGCAAGACTATAAGAGAAAGGCGATCATATCTACGTCAGATGGAGGCTCCAATACGGTAAAGTAAGTTCTATTTACTACCCCTTTCCTTACCTATGTACTACTCGCTAGAATCAGATATGCTGACATCTCGCGCTTCTCCGCGCCACCAAGGTCGCAAGTCCACGACCACATCACAGGCGAGATAAACTGGCCCGAGATCTATGACGGCCGCGCCATCGTTACCCCAACGTACCACGACCACGTCGCCGGGGTGCCTCTAGACGAGAACGCGAAGCGGCTCAACGCTGCCAAAGACAGCGGCGACGTGTCTAGGCTGGTCACTTGGTCGTAAGTAGCCCTTGTCCTCTTTGATCGTATTATATATTAGCTCTAGCTGACCTCTGCTAGCGGAACGGGAGTCGGTTTGATTAAGAAAGAGCAGCCGGCCGCGGAGATCACGAAAGAGGTGAGAGAGGAGGCACTGAAGGCGATTACTAGCCTAAAGTCGTTCCTTTAAACGAGTTCGCTAGTATAAAGTAGCCGCAGAATTAGGAAGGATAGATGGTCCAGGAGACGAGAAGACAGTCTTCTATATCGTATGTACTACATCGTCTAAACTATTCCCCTATAATCTGAGATTTCTATGCGCCGCCGCTATGTCTACAACATGTATAGGTACCTAGGTAGGTAAGTAAAGCAATCAATGCCCAGTCAGACTATTTTATAACATTTTCGTAGCCATATATTAATATTATATATATATAGGGTATGAATGACTACAGGCTCCTGTATACTCGTAGTCCCTAGCTCATCTTCTCGTAAGATTCAACAGACTTAAAGAGCAACTTATATACGCTTTGCTACTCCTTATCAAGGCTGTATTAGGGTTGACATCTATATGTATAATTCAGCTCTTATATGAAATTGTATGCTGCGCACATTAGCGCAATAAGTAGAGTTGCGATGCTAGCCCTACTCCTGGCTGAACTGTTGTCTTTGTTAACGGTGGCCTGGTCGGCAACGCTATCATAACTAGACTGCGGCTCCTCTTTAATATCGGCAGGACTACTTGTCTGAACGAGACTCTCGGTGCCAGAGTACCGTTGGTGACCAGGGCTTAATCGGGACTGGCCTTCATTAATCCATGACAGACCGCAGGCACGGATCAGCTTGCCCGCATTGATGTCCTCGGGATCGTCATCGTCGTCATCGCAGTCGGAGAGCACGCCGTCAAAACAGCGTATAAAAGGCGTAAAGGCATAGTACCCAGCGTCGCCGAGGGACACGTCAGTGTGGACTGCTGTGTAGTTCATGACTATCGTAGCGTTGAAGTCCGTAAGGCTGGACGCGGCAGGGTTCGAGATTTATTCATCTCCTTAACCGATCGAAGGACTATCAATTGGACTTTGATGTTTTCTATGACTTTTCCAGTTCAATACCAATTTAGTTTTCAGAAGTGTACCCACGCTGGAGCTCTTGGTGCTCAGGAGAAACCTTGCCTAGTGGGATACGATAGGGGATGGCTATACTACTAGAATGCATTAGGTCTATGCTTGGGGTAAATATATCTGAGTATGATATCCATCTCCTGATTGTTGAGTAGTAATACTTTTAGCCATCGTCTACAAGGTGACGGGTCTCCCTGCTTGAAGTATTTGTAAGTCTTCTCAAACCTTGACACAATATGGGCATCGAGAATACCACTTATTGCTGACAAGTCTTACTGAAAATAAAAATAATTACCAAAAGTATAATTTGTATTATAGAATAGGATCTTGGAGATCTGTTAAAAAGCGAGGAGGAAAAAAAGGGTAGGACTCTAAGTTCGAGCTAAGTACCTATATTTGACCCGAGCAAGGGAGGCTAATCTTGCCGCCCTGCCACCGGCTCGAATTCGAGAATAGCTTCGAAAAGCCCCGCGAAGAGGTTTTATCTACTCCGTCATATCTTCAGATTACTACGCCATGACCTCTTCGGCTAATGTATCTTCAAGTAAGGGGTGATGGAAAGACTGTTAATTGGCTTTTTAACCTTCCCTTGGGTTGCCTGATGACGGCGTTGCTGTCGAGATAGCTGAAGGAATCTAAATATTTCCTACATAATTCCAGGCCCTTGGCCATAACGGCTGCAATGATATTTGATATGTTGCTACTACCAACACGTTGAGGAAGAATGGTAGTGAGGGGAATAACGCACTTCTAATACCTGGTTTCTTTCCATCTCTAGGAACTGCCGATTTAGTCCTCGCTTGCTTTCCCGGTTCTTATTAACAATAATAGTAATCAGACATACCTAACTTAAGGCGGGACACATCAGAAGTATACTCTTCTACTCCGGATAGGATATACTCCTTGACGATCATAGTATATCCTTTCTGATGCTACTAACAAGCCTCGGTTACAACAGGCATTGCCTCATAAGACAGGTGTCCTACCTGCCAGCTAGCAAAGGGCTCTGATGCCCGAGCACCGCAAGATCGTGTCTCGGCTCGATGCTGGCCAGTTTGTTCACGGCTAGTCGGCGGTGTGGGAGCCATCGGAGTGAGCGAATTGCGGCCTGCGGAATAATATCTTAAATATTCTGATGCTAAGTAGTAGGACAAGGAAAGAGACGTTATAGGACGAAGCACCATAGGTACGTTACGGACGTGTCGCTTATTTGAAGCTGACTTATGAGATGAGGAAGAGTTGGCAACCTAGCCGTGGAATCGTGTCAGGGGTCCACCTGTACCTTATGCATAGAAGGTGAGCATCTGTTGTACGACAGAACGGGTCGTGGCAGAGAGGTATTGAAGTTGAAGAAGAGCTTTGGTGGTTGGCTAAGAACTAATATGATTGGTTCAACGCAGCGACCTTGCGCGACAAAGGGGCTGAGTTGGCATAGGATGGAATGTGGCCGAGAGCCTGATACAATTGATGGTGGGTGCACGAGTAAAGCGTTTCGTTGGGCATCAACGCTACATTGACGATCAACGAGCGTGGGGGCAATGAGGCGACCTAGGCCCGTTGATCGAGTGGTTGAACTCACCTAGGACCTTCAGCGTTCGGGGCGGGTTCCTTAATACGGAAAAACACGATCGTGAGAATGGAAATATAGGAATAGGTAGGAAATTCATCAAAACAATATCGTAGGCAACCATCGCTCGCTATACCAATTCAACCCCAAAACTCCTCCTACGCCTCGTACAAATCTTGTTCTCGTATCATACACACATGATAAACCCGATTTAAATAGACGTTACTCGTGATTCATAACAAGAGCCCGTTCATTCTGTTGTTGGCCGCCGTGTAAGCCGTTCTGTAACTATCCGATAAAACCCCCGTAACTAGAGCTATATGCCCATCGTGTTCCCTCTACCATCTTCGTAGGGCGCTGCCGCTCGCAGTCATAACTTTTTCCAAGCCGCATAACTTCGTAAAGACGATCCAAAATCGGAATAAACGAAACCTGCTATGCAGGCGCTGGAGGATCGCCGGTGCCACCGCCGGTGCCGCCTTCCGAGTTGCCTTTTGAACCGGAGGATTTGCGACGATGACGCCTCTTGCGAGTAAAGCGAATTGACCTTCCGTAAAAGTATAGGAAGGCGAAAAAGCCGACCAGGAATACCGCCAGGAGAATACCAACTACCACGCCGATAGTGGTGTTTACGCTTGCCCCCGATCGCTTTTGTAGGTTCGATGCATGATCATGGACAGTCGGGATTATGCCAAGGCCGTGGGCAAGGAGCCGGCGCGCCTGGGATGAGACCGACTTGAGAAGGGGAAGATTGTCATGTATGGAGAGTTCGTGTGCGGATGTGAGGCCCGGTCCGAGTCTTATGGCCGGAGCCAGAGAGGAATCAGGATTGAGAGGGTTCGTCTGGGGTATATACATTTCAGGCAATCTGCGCACCGACGGAGTGGAAGATTAAGAATGATAATTTCGAAGCATGGCGCGCCATAGGCGCAGTGAACGTCGAGAAACGAAGTAAAAGTGCCGGCAACGAAGAGAAACCGGCCAGAGAATAGAAGGTTGGGCGAAGGGGGCGATTTTATTATCTGCAGCCTACTCCAACCAACTCTCCAAGGTCGCAGTGTGTAACTAGCGATCACTGTCTCGCGTGGGCCGACGGCCACTCACTCCAGACGCCTACATCAGGTGTACAGCCAAATAACTAACAACGATGGCGGGGTCGTTGATGAAGGCTGGCCGAAATCTTATTCGTCTCGCTGTTCGGCAACGGCCAACGATGATCGACTTGGGGACGTAGTACATAGAGGACCTACGGCGCAGACGGGGAATTTGTGATAGGATCAATGTGTGCAGACTCAAGGTAGTAAGACGATATAATTCGTCTATAGTATCTTCTTGAGTTGGCACGTCGTAGGTTCCCGTCTGTAGGAGCTGCTTCGGCGCCTACAGGGGTCACCACAGAGGTAGGACATGACGATATGCAGACCCCGAAGCTACCTAGGTAGGAGGTAGATCTCAGCGGGAAGTCAGTCATACCCTGGTACGCGGAAGAATCGTTAGACTGGCTCGAGCGAAGGTGGCCGAGTGCCGGAGGGCGGATTCTATATGTGGCGGTTGGACAAGCACTACCCGGATAAAAGAGTTGATGCTCAGTGGCTGCCGTGGAGCCGTGGAGCCGTGGGTATGGTTTGGCGGTACGTATTCCACGATGGGAAGGCGTCTAAGTGCATGTCCAAACAGGAGGGAAAAATGGGGAGATGGATAAGATAATAATGCGACGGGATATCATAGTACAGCTTGTGCATATGTAAACCGGCGCCGGACAGATGCTTGCAGTTCGGATCACCAGGTTGGTCGACGAGAGTTGCCGGACCCAGGAATGGGGAGTAGAGTAAGACGTAAATTTTGTGCTCCTGCGGTGATTCGTTGCATGTCGAATTGGGATTGGATTAGAATTGGCGATGCTGCAGGCTCTCGTGCCCCTCAATCAGATTGGAGGAATACCTATCATATGCAGGAGTAGTAGCATGGGCTAGCTGCCAGCTCATCGTTCAACCCATTGACCATTGTCCGTTGAAGAAAATGGCGAAAGTGGGAAAAAAAAGATAGGTGAATGAGGCGAGCAACAGAAGTCTAGAGGGTCATAGGAATAATTCTCTAAATGTTACATCAGTGAGAATTCGAGGAGGATTTCTTTTAGGGGTCCATACAGGTAGCATGCATATGTGGGTTACCCATGTGCCCTGAGTTTACGAAGGGTTATGCCCGAGTTTACGAGGGATATTGTCAGACGATCTTTTTGCCTGGCTTTTTTTCGAAATAGGAAGTTCGTCCGTGCGCAACGTTCGAGCGTTTTTATTGGGTGCATCCTCGAATTCTCACGTGCTCTTCCAGATCCCCACTTTCATCTTTTTCTCGAAATACGTATTTTTTTTTTTTTTTTGCCATAGCCACGGTTACATAACCAATCACGTAGCCACGCATTACATACCTAAAGTAATCCAAGTTTTACAAGAGCCTGGGTTCGAATCCCACATGCTCCTTTTTTTTTTTTTATCTTTCATTTTTTAAAAGAATTCTAGTAAAGCTTAATGTTCGAGGTTGTCCGCCGCTGCTGCAGCAGCGGCACGTGATTCGTAAACTCGGGCTATTGTGGTGCCCCGCAGGGGTGCCCTCATGTTGTGTCGAATTTTTTTTCTATGGGAGCTCGTCCGGATTAGGAAATAGAAATTGCCTATTTGGGATTTGAGAATTACCGGAATAGGAAGGAAAGGTGGGGGTTTGGTCGATTTTATTGGATGTTGATTGGGTGCATCTTGAAGGAAGTGGAGTTTTGGTCGATTTTTAAGCGAATGATAAGCCACAGCCACAGCCACGGCCACAGCCAACCTTAGGCCACAGCCAAGGCTAGCCACAGCCACGAGGCTCCTGGATGTGGCTTGTGCGGCCGAAGGCCGCCCATGGGATACCGGGTCGGCGGAGCGTTTCGGCGAAGCCGAAACGCGGAGACCGACCCGCTTACGTAGCAGGCAAAAGTGTGCGAAGTAATGCGTTAAAAAAGGGACGGGTGCAAGGTCCAGGAATCGAATCGTGGACCTGGCGATTGGTGTGTGGTATGGCTATGTGGCTATGTGGTTGCGTGGCTGCTAGCCACGGGTGTAGGGGCACGTGATTGTCACATGATAACGATGGCGCATTACGTAAACTCAGGGCTATTGTGCAATCCAGCGGGAATACACTATGTGAAGCCCGTTATGTTGGCTTTTCTTATAAGAGACTAGAAATAGTGTGGGTTCGCTGTGTTTGTTCTCGTTCAATATTCAGGGGTAAAATGTGATAAAATCTAAAAAGTAAAAGCCTAAGAACCTTGTACATAGTAAGGGCGTGGCGGTTACGGTTGACCAAACAAGCCATTGTGCCAAAATGAAAAAAATCTGTGAGCTTAACTTAAAAGGGTAGTTAGCCATTATCTCAGGTAACCTTAGACCCGAAATTTTCGAGGCGGGCTGCGCCTGCTTGCGCCACGCAATGCGTGGTTTATATGTTTATATTTATAAGTTATAAATAAAGTATTTAAAAAAATTTAATTTAAAGTTATACGGTATTATAAAAGTTTTTAACGTTTTTATTAATAATAAAAAAATTAAATATTATATTTATAATAATTTAATATATTATAATAATGTATAAAATAATTTTAATTTTAATAATTTAAAATTTATAATATGTTTTTTTTAATTTTTTATTTTTTTTATATATTTATATAATATTGCGTTTTTATATATTAAATTTTAACGTTTAAAAATTTTTAACGTTTTAATTATTTAATATTAAACTTTATGTAAAATATTTAAATATAATAATTTAATATTTTATAACCACGTATAAAAAATTTTTTTTAATAACTTTAAATTAATAATATTATTACTTAAGTTTTTTAACTTTTTTTATATATTTATATAATTTTATATATTAAATTTTAATATTTATTACGGTTATTATTATACGTTATAATTAACGCGTTATAACCGTTATAATATAACCGTTATAATTATTTTTAACATTTTAAAAAATTTAAAACGCGTAAATTTAATTAATAAATTTAATAAAAAAGTTAATAATTATTATATAATTAATTATTATTTATTATAAAAACGTATTAATATTATTATTTTAATAATGTTATTAATATTATTATTAATGTTATTATTTTAAAACGTTAAACGTATAATTTTAATATATAAAATTTTAAATTTATTTTAAATTATAAATTTAATATTATTTTAAAAAATTGTTCCGGGTTTTAATTAATTAAAAAATAATGTGGTTAAAAAAAATATAACTTTATTTTAATAAATTTAAACCATAAATTTAAAATTATTTATACGGTTATACTTTTTTTAACCATATAATTTTTTAATTAATTATAATTTTAATATAATTTTAAAAATAATTTTAAATTTTTAATTTAAAATAATTTAAGTAATTTTTATTATAATTAATTGTTTAATATTAAAAATATAATATTAAAAATAATAATATTAACGCGTTTAAAATAAATTTTAATTAATTTAAAATATTTATTAATTTTATCATTAATAAATATACGTGTTTTAAACGTTTAAATACACGCGTTTTAAACGTTTTAAAGTAATAATTAACCGTAATACCGGTTATAACACCAGTTATAACACCGGTTATAACGTTTTTAAAAATATATTACGTTAAAAGTTTATAATATTATAACGTAATATTATATAAACATATAAAATAACAAAAAAGTTTAAACAATTAAATTATTAATTTTAAATTAAAAAAAGAATTATTTTATACATAATTGTAAATATATGTATAAGTTTAAACACGTAGTTATAAATGTTAATATAACATTTTTAATATTATTACGTATTTTTAAACATTAAAACTTACGATATTATAACGCGATGTTATATAAATATATAAAAAAAATAAAAAGGTAAAAAAAGTAAAATATTAACTTTAAATTATAAAAATAAAAGTTATTTTATACGTTATTATTAAATATTAAATTATTATAAATATAAAGTTTAATTTTTAAAAAAACTATTTTAATTATAGTTAAATATATTAAACATATTTTAAATTAAAATTTGTTAAAACTTTAATTTTATGTTATTTTTTTAAGTTTTAAACTTACAAATATAATGATATAAACCAAGCGTTTTATAACGTTTATAACATAATTAAACATAAACTTAATTTAATAAATTTTAATTTAAATTTATTAAAATAAATATAACTTTATAAATAATATTAAATTTATGGTTTAAATTTATTAAAATAAATTAATTATAAGTTAACATAATTAACTTAAATTATTACGGTATTTAACATTTTTATATAAAAAAAAAAAAATTTTTTTTTTAAATATATACGTGTTAATCGGGTGATATAAACTAAGGATAAATTTTAAAATAAAAGCTTAAATTAATTTAAAAAAACAGTTATTTACCGTGTATATGTGTGGCTTTTTATACGAGGCGAAAAAACTTACATTAAAATTAACCACTTTAATGGTTAATTAAAAGTTATTTATAACGTTAATTAAAAACTTTATTAATATAACACACTTTTAAATCTTTTAAAACCTTTATTTTAAAAAACTTTTATATAATTAATAAAATTATTTTTTTTATTTTTATTTTATTACCACTTTTTAATTAAAACAATGGTTATTTATAATTTTATATATATTTATAAAAAAAATATATGTTACTTTTTAATTAAAACAATAATTATATAAAAAAATTATATTTAAATAAATGTTTTTATTTTTTTATTAATGTTTTTTACAAATACCATAATTTAAAATTTATATAAATAATTTAATTTAATCCGTACGTTTATAAATTATAAATTAACCGTTATTAACTTACCTTTTTTAATAAATTATTTATACTTATAAAAAATGGATTAATTATTATTAACTTACTTTTTTTTTAAAATAAAAACTTATAAAAAATAAATTAATTATTATTAATTAAAACCGCTTTTTTTAAAATAAAATAAACATATAAACAATAGAAATTAAACGTTAAAAACGGTTTTATTTTAAATTTTATTTTTAACGTTTTAA